GATTTGATGACCTTGATGTATCTGCAGTTGAAGTTGTCAACACTGGTCTGTAAAACATTGTGATTATGGCTCGTTTTTACTGATTTCTGTCTCAGGCTGACAGTCTTTGTACCATCTTTCTAGCAAAAACTCTTTCTGAAGCATGAACAGTATCAGTTGCCATGGATTTTCTTATGAAGAGCAGTCTGGTTTTATCACTTCCCTCTGTTTTCTATAATTTATTCTTTATTCCATGAATTGTCTGTTTGTAGGTTTTTACTTCCTCTGTTGCTGATAGCTTCTGCTTTTCCTCTTCTCATTCATGTTCTTGAACCAGTTTCTTTTGTAGAGTCATGTTTTTCTGCTGAGAAAATTCACTCAGAATTTGTGCTGCAAGGATCTAGCTAAATTCAGTAAATAGGAGTCAGGTTCCAGTTTCTAAATTTGTTCTTACAACTCATGCCTGGCTGACACTTCATCACTCAGTTTGGAATAGGAATGGTCATTATCTTTTTCAACTAATGTTAACTATTGTTAACATCGGTCTGGTCTGGGAAGCATCTATCATTTGTCTTTTCTAATTTTTTCACTCTGGTAATCTGCCAGCTGTCCATTGTCAGATTCATTCCATGCATATCATTTTTAATTAATTTTGCTTTAAATTCAAAAGTGACATCAAATTATCTGCACAGTAGACTTCTTAAAAACTTCTGTTTATTTTCTTTGCACGCAAGATCTTTATGTGTCACTGTGTGTTTTGTATAATTTATTAGTTCACAAGATCAGTATAGTGCTCATTCCAGTCTTCTGTTTCTTATAGCGATTATAACATGCTCTTCTCAAATCTAGTATTTTCTTTGTAAATCCAATAGGGTTTAGATTCTCATTTCTCATAACTTAGTTTAGCTTCATTTTTTCTCTCAAATATTATGAAACTCTTTGGAAAACCTTGTCATAGTCAGTAGGTATCTGTATTACCAAGTATCTTTTCAGTTTCCTTAGACTATTTTTTTCTCAGCTCTCAAAATAATAAGCAACTTTCCCACAGTATTTGGTTCATTTCTGTAAGAATTCAAATTAAGTATTTGAGGCAAACATGTTCTTTTTTTTCCTGACATGGATTGTGGTATCTTAGCTCTCCACCCAGGATAGAACCCAGGCCCACGACTATGGAAACACTGAGTCCTAACCACTGGACTGCCAAGGAGTCCTCTTAACTTTGTTGCTTGATTTCTTCAAATATATTGCTTCTTTGATCATTCTTTTATAGTCTGATATTTTAAAAATATTTTTTAAAGTTTGTTTCAAATTATTATTAGACATTTATATAATCTATTGTTTTTACTTTATAAATTCTACTATTAATATTTAAAAGGAACATTTAAGAAGAAAGTGATAAAGTAATTCCAATAAACAGATATAACTATAGGCTCCAAAACTTTTCATAAAAATCAGGTCTAGGCCCTTCTGGCACCTTTGTTATGGATAAGACAGCAGTCAGTTTTAGTATCTTCCATGGTAATCTTCTCTCTGGTAGTTCTTAACATTTTTTTCTTTATCCTAGAATATTTCTAAGTTTCTCCTTTGTGTTTGTGTGATTTATTTTACTTGACACTTGAGTATAAGTTCTATCTTAGATCTCCTGTTTTCAATTCTGGAATAGTCTCAAATATTATCTCTTAAACAAAGGCTTCCCTGTCACTTCTTTTGAGTTCTCTTATAAGTAAAATTTTTCCTCTTAGCATAGATAGATGAGGCTTCCCTGGTGACTTAATGGTAAAGAACCTGCCTGCCAATGCAGGAGACACGGGTTTGATCCCTGGATCAGGAAGATTCTTCTGGAGAAGGAAATGGCAATCCACTCTAGTATTCTTGCCTGAGAAATGCCATGGACAGAGGAGCCTGGCAGGCTACAGTCCATGGGGTCATGAAAGAGTCAGACAAGACTTAGTGACTTGTTTAACAGCAACAATAATAGATAGATGGATGGATGAATGGATGGATAGATAGGTAAGTAGATAGCTAGCTAGATAGATAGATGACAGAGTCTTATTCTGTTTGGGCTACTGTAATAAAATACCACAGATGGGTAGCTTATAAACAACAGAAATTTATTTCTCATGTTTTGGAGGCTGGGATGTCTAAGATCAAGGTGCCAGCATGGTCACCTTCGGATGAGGGACCTTTTCCTGGTTCATAGCTGGTGACTTTTCACTGTGTCCTCACATAGTGGAAGGGACTAGGGATCTCTATGGGGTCTTTTTATAAGTTCCACTCACGAGGGCTCCAGCTTCATGATTTAAACACCTCCAAAAGACCTCACTCCTAATATCACCATCTTTGGGGGTTAGAATCTCAATAACCTGTGAATTTGCATGATACACTTACATTCAGACCACAGTGGATAGTTAGATACATAGATAGATACTGGATTGGTCTCTCTGGGCCGCATTCTACATCTTCCAAATCTATTCCTTCTTCAACCATATCCAGACTAGCATTTAAAGAGTTATCTCTTTTTTTTTAATTTCAGTGACCATTTTCAAGGTTTCTAAAGGATTTTCTTTCAGATCCACTTGTTTCTTTTTTCCTTGTTTATGTTTAACATCCCTTGCTCTTTAATGGATGTTATTTCATTTATCTCTTAAAGCACAATTAACATACTAATCTTTATCTGATGCTTTCTTAAAATTAATTAATTTTACCTGAAACAAATCCTTGATCTTATTATTGAGTGCCACCTTTCTTAGCATTAGATTTCTTATGTTTTGGAACTTTGATTTCTATACTCTTTGTAAGTAGGAGGTTTTGAGTGTATCTGTGGGTATATAGTTTTCTCTGTATGTGTGTCTGTCTTTCTTTTCTCTGTATTCACTCTTTCTTACCTAATCATTTTATGTTTGCCTTTACCTGACCTCCCAGCTTTCTAGACCAGATTTGTCTTAAAATGGCATTTCAGGACTTCTGTCCCAGATTTCTGTTGGGAATATCACAGAGTTAGGCATCAAACCAACAGGGGCTTACTTCATTTTCTGATTGAGAGATTATATCTATATTCCAGAGATCTAGGTTTTTTTCAGCTTCTCTTCAGTTTTTATAAGCCCCCAGCTTCAAAAAGTGAGTCTGGCTCTGATGAGAGAAGTTTTGAGCATTTATTCTTCAGGGATAGAACCCATGGGTACCATTTCTACCCCTAGAACTACGGCCAGGCAGGTTCATGCTTTATCTCTGCTCTCCACTTTGCATTTCTGGTCTATTTCATGCCTGTCTTTTTCAGATACAAATACTTCTAAATGTTTTCTGCTTTTTATAATTGACTATGTTTAGAGTAGAAGGAACAAATCAGAGCATAAACTCAAGTGCCATCTTTACAACATACTACTAATGAATTTTTCATGCATGTTATTTTAATCTTTTCAACTTCTTTGCTTCTTCAGAGCAAGTATACATCTAATACATGAGGACCTATAATCCTAACTATGCAGATCACAGACAACATAAGTATCTAGTAGTTTCTAAACATTTCTTACTTAAAGTAATTTTGTAATATAAAAATTCTGACTCCTAATCCAAAGGACATTGTATATTATATATCAGAATTTGTCAATATATATATGAATATGTGTGTTTTTGAGTGTGCATATAAATGTATATTTTTCATACCTATTAGGATTTCCTGGTTTTATTTACCTATTTCTATATTTTTCCTTATGCTCCCCATCTGGCCAAAGATAGCTTGAGTCTGATGAAAATCTCTCTTTGACCAGAATACAGAAAGAAATCTGAAATTTCAAATGATAGTTTTGAACTCTGCTTCTCCTAATATTTTCAATGATTTTATTGTTTGATTGGTTTTTAAACCTTTTAGAAAACACAGATGGCCAGACTTACTCTGTCTAAGGGCTTGCTGGGAAACTAATCTGGCCTACTGATGTCTTTATTTCCTGTGATGGTGTCTCTGCGTGGAAGTCAGTGGCTCAAGATTACAGTAAGAGTAAGGCCTGTGCTTTTGTGCCTTGAACTTAAGAGTTTAGAAGTCATCGAGTCATCTTTGCCACTTGTTCTTCAAAACCGGGCAGTTCTGTATTTTCCTTGGCTTCTTTCTCCCAGCAAATAAAATACTATCTCAATTCTCATTGTGAGATGATTATTCTCTTCTATCTGCCGGGATCATAATTCAGTGGGAGCTGTTCCTAACCAAGGAAATGAGGGCAGGAATTATATAATTGAGAATAATGGGCTTGAAATCCATGAATGTCTAGAAACATGTGCAAGTCTGACACTTACTAGCTTGGTGGTCTTCATAGGCAACTCACTGAAAAAAAGTTTTTCTCCACTTTTAAAATGAGATCATCATATAGACTAAACACTTATTGAATGACAATAATGAGCTAGCCCCTTAGAAAAATGAGACCAATAGTTACTCCTTAAATGCTTTCTAATTAAAAGCATTCTGATTTTAAGTAAGTAGGTTATTAGAGAAATTCCAATATATAAAAATTCACATTTAATAATAAACAAAATAAAATAATAATGTTTAATAAAATATAAATATTTGTAAAAATTATTTACATTACTAGTACATACATTTAACTTACTGCCAACTAAATATTTTCAAAAGAAGTCTGATGAGTGTGACTGAAGAGAAACTGTAATCACTTTTACTTAGTGCTTTTAATTATTAATATACTGAAATCTTCAGAAAAGAAGTTTCCTAAGAGACATGAAATCTCAACACCACCAATTTTCTTACAAACACTTTCTTACTGATGATATCTAGGCAAGATGAACAAAAATTCTGAATCTTTAGTGTTTCTAAGTAACATGTCACTAGTTAGAGATCTAGGACAGCTTTTATAGTTAAATGAAGCTAAATAGTTATGCTGGAATACCAAGACAAAATTAGCCTTTACAAATTTCTAGTCCTTTTCATGTTAGTTAAAATAGTGATAAAATATATAGAAATCCTTTATTAGCCGTTTTGGAATAAAAAATTCCAAAAATTGTTCTTTGTCTTTCAGGTCCTCCAGGGAAACGAGGTAAGAGGGGCCGAAGAGGAGAATCTGGTAAGTCTCTCTTTCAGCTGCCCTGTGTCATTCATATCCTGGTTAGGTTCCCACATCTGTTCCTCCTAATTAGTGATTATATTGTTTTGTTGGGTGTTGTGTCCATGCGTGTGTGTGTGTGTGGGGTTTAAATCTTCTCTGCTACATCTAGAATTCTTTTTTTTAATCTTATTTCCATCAAGCTGTAGGAAGGAGAAGTTTGCAAAATGTTATTAATTTCAGTTTAATAGCCCCTGGCACCATATTTTGGCCTGTTTACTGTGTCAGGTTAAATCTGCCCTTTTAGTGTACAGCGGGGAATTTCTTAGCTGCACATAGTGTGGCTGCATCACCTGCTCTCCATCTACACAGGTGGTCAGTCGGGGCAGGTTCTCTGCAGAAACATCCGCCTTGGGACACCAGGGCGTATGTCTTGGAAAGATTATTATTATTTTATCCAACTGGTAAAGTTTCGTCATGCTTCAACTCTCATTCTTTTCAAAACTTGAGAATTTTTATTCCTCTTGTATAGCCATAGCATTTTAGTGATGACAGGAGCCTTAGTAATCAATCCAGAGTTTTCATTTTCTAGTTGAGGAAATGGTGGCCCAGAGCGATCAGGTGGTTTAGCAAAGCCCATGCAGTTTTTTTAATGAGCAGAACTTGAAGCACAACCAATTGTCCTGATACCCTTTTCAGTATTTTTCTTTCTTTCTTTTTTTGCTTCCAGGCCAAATCCCTATATGCAAAGTCAAATAAAAACTATTTTTTGAAACCAAGCTATTCAAATGAGTGTGTTCAGTTACAGTATTACTAATACTTTTATAAAGTCTAAGACTTCAAAAATGTAAATGTAAATGTGAAGTCTTAACAGGGTATCAGTTCTTTCTTGAAAGATAAGAGGAAGGTAATTAAAGGTATGATTTTAGTAAGAAATGTTATTTTTCAGTATTTTCTACCTACAAGTATTTATTAGCATTAAAAACAAGCCACTCAGGGTTAAAATGGTGGAAATACTAACACATCAGAAAGATAAGACAGCAGATTGGGTTTTTGTCTCATCTGCTCCCTCTTGGAAAAATTCTGTCAAAGTAAAAAGGTTTTATGAAAAAGCATCTTCTTGGATTTACATGTATTCCCCATCCCGATCCATGGCTGATTCATGTCAATGTATGACAAAACCCACTACAATATTGTAAAGTAATTAGCCTCCAACCTAATAAAAATAAATGAAAAAAGAAAAAGAAAAAATATCTGCTTAATTCCTTTAAAGAAATTCTCAAAAGTTATCTTTAAACCTCATTCACTCTAAATAATTGGAAAGTTATATAGATATCTCCTTCATGAATTGCGAAGGTTTGTAATAAGAGGATGCTTTATAAATTTGTTTTGAAGGAAAAAAATGATAAAACATTGGTGGACCCAAATAATCACTGAATTGATCTTTGTGTCAAAAGAAAGAAAGATGATTAAGGGGGGGGGGAGTGAAAAGTGGTACTTAGGCAATTTTACAGAAAATATAAAAATCAGTTCCCAACTTTCTGACTCCTGAGAACTGGTGCTTTAATTGAGCATATGGTGTGTGAAATATTGAAATTTTCTTAGACTTTGCCTGTATTTTGATGAAAATACACAGTTTTAAAGAAACATATAAACATCAGGACTTAGTCTTTTATAGAATGAAAATACTACTGAATGGTAAAGATTCTTAAAAAAAATAATGGTACATTTCTGATTTAGCCATTTTTACCAAACTCAAGAAAATTGTCCATCAATTGTTTACAATTGGTCAATCATGAAGACTTAAGACTCTCCTGATTCATATTATCTAAATTTTGGATATATAAATTACACAATGTTTGCTTAAAATACATGAACCTCTCAGTAATTCATAAACAGGCCTCAGGGAATCTGAATATTCCTTGAAATTTTACTTAAAATTTTGTGTGTACATAGATGCAAATGTATTTTTCTGATGTGGTCTTATAGGTCCATGATCAAAAAATGACTAAGAATCACTGAATTTTTAAGTGACTTCTGTGTCTCTTGGATTATGTTGATGATTATGATGATGCTCTAATGTTTTATTTCATCTTACTATTTGGCATATTCACTAATTTACTTCTCCTCTTTTTCTTATTCTCTCCACTCTCCTCCAACCATAGGTCCTCCTGTAAGTATCTTTGCTGAATTTTGGCTCTTCTGCGTTAATCAGGACCACGTATGTTAAAACTTTGCTAAAATATCCAAGTATAGTCTGCATGTCAATTAGAAAAATGTTGCTGACCTTTAGTATTTAACTTTGGGAAATTATTTTTTTAAGTTTAATATTTTGTGATCATATGATGTGTTAGAGTGCAGTGTGTGTCAATTAAAAAAGAAACTTTATTTTTAATATAATCACAAACCAATATTCTCTTGGCAATTTTGGAATAGCTTATGAATCTCCTGATATTAAATGTTTTTCCTGGAATCCTGAGGTTTCTCTGCGAGCAAACCCCCAAGCTCTTTCACACTTCTTTCATTCATTTAAGCCTGTATCTGAAATATTTACATTTGCCAGTACACGAAATGTAGATGGCAACATGATCACGGAAGTGATACCCCCGGAGCGCTTGGTCCAGGCTCACGCCATAGGCAACACTGCCTTTGAAGTCCTTTGGAGTTTTGCCTGCATAAAGAGCTTGAGCTGGGGCCCTGGGGAGTTGCACTTTCTTGTTTCTTTCCTTGAGTAGGGGCATAGCCACAGCATTCCAGTCTGCTTTGCACTCACAGGAACAGATTATCTTGTCAGCTTTGAGCTAGATGTGTTTCTGAGTAATATCCTGGATATCTGTCGTCTGACCCCAGTGCTGGACGTTTACGGTAGCAGTGATCATTGGCCTTGAGTTGTTTTCTCATCCCGAGTAGCCAGCGTGCTCCAGGGTTCACAGACTCTGCGTTGGCAGCTTCCCTAACAGGCCAGCTTGGTCCAGGGAGAGGGGCTTAGCATATACTCGTTTACTTGATTCAGAGGAAGCATTGGCTTCCAAATATCTTTTGCAGTCTTCCTGCCATGTTCAAGGATGGAACATAAATCATCTTAGAAATGACTTTTTTTTTTCTGTAACTGACTTTCAGCTTTTGCTTAATGCTAGGCAGATGGCATACCCCAGGTCTTTGGCTTCGTATTTAAACCTCTGTCTTTTAAACTAGAAACAAACCACTACCACTCAAAGGAGACCTTGGAGATTACATCCAGAATAGAGTGTTCAAGGCTTCTTTTTGTGGATGTATGTATTAGGTAGGCCAGAGGTAGTTCTATTTCATCTCTGCCTTACAATGACATTCAGGAAGCTAGAATTTCCTCTTTGGTCCTTCACAAATTTAGACAGCCATGTGGCTCCTGCTTTTTGGGGGGCTTTCTATTAGTGCAGGCTTTCCACTCTAAAAGATTTCAATTGATTTTACTTTTTTAAATTATATATTTAAAAAGAGGACTAGTGTGTTTGAAGCCCCTGTATATGGCAGGCAATATTCTAGGCACTTTACATAACATTTATTTTGTCTCTGATTTCATCATTCCCATTATCATTAATATCCCTAAATATTACCATTTTTCAATAAAGAAACTCAGGCTCATAGAGGTTAATTATCAACTGGGCCTCCCAGGTGGGTCTGGTGGTAAAGAACCTGCCGGCCAACACACAAACCATAAGAGATGCAAGTTGGATCCCTGGGTGGGGAAGATCCCTTGGAGGAGGGCATGGCAATCCACTCCAGTATTCTTGCCTGGAGAATCCCATGGACAGAGGAGCCTGGTGGCCTATAGTCCATGGAGTCGCAAAGAGTAGGACACGACTGAAGTGACTTGGCAGGCACGCATGTACAGCTAAAGAGGATTTGCAAAGTTTGAATTCAGTTAGATATGTCCGATTCTAAATACTTTCTGCTTACCACATTATCTTTCTTCCTCAAAATCATGAGTATATTATAACATGGGTCATTGTTGCATAGCTTTGGCAGGCTATGATCAAATCATAATTCTTTTTTTATTGAAGTATAGTTAATTTGCAATATTATTAGTTTTAGGAATACAACATAATACCAAATCATATTTCAATACCAAATCATATTTCTTGATATAAATAATTACATGTAATAAAAGCATGTTAAAAATGTAAAATGGCTAATCAACATAACACACATTAATAATATGGCTTCTCAGCTGCATTTTAAAGAAGTTATAATGTCTATAATGTGTTTAGCAAATTGCATCTAATCAAAGAAATAAGGTATAATTGTGAGTTCTTATGCTGACTAAAAACTAGTTCAAGTTGCTTACATTTAAGATTAAAAAAACCATTGCTTATGAAAAAGAGAAAAAAAATGTATATTCACTGTGCTACCTTTCCTAATAGGATTGAGTCTTACTGTGGAAGCAAGTACATTACTTATACTGTAGTAAGTACTTGGGACCCCATACTCCTAGAGCCCTTATGGGTGAAATCCTCAAGTCTCCAAACTCCCATATATGATTTTTAAGAAGTATTTGATTTTTATCAAATTTTGCTTTAGGTGGCTTTGTAAAATATTTCTATTATATTTCTTGCATGTGAATGAAAATGGATGAACAGTGATGTTATTATGATTAAACAGAATGATCAGTTTTATATTTTTTTAGATGCAGTATCCAATTATTGACAATTGGAACTTGCAGTGACCATACTCCTCCTATTTTTCGCATTTTAATTTTATGTGTATTTTTCCTTCCATTTCTTTTTGATAAAGTGAAATTTTAAAGTTTCTGTAATTTTATTTTTAAAAAATTTTATTTATTTCCCTAATTGTGTTTAACACAAATATTTATCTCAACAAATGCAAAATGGATAAAATATCAAGGTTTATGCAGCAATTTCAATGATAATTGCCATACCTCCATTCTGTAAATTAAATGTAACACACAAAGGTAGTCTGAAAAATCAAATAACCTTGTTTCTGATGAACAATTCATGTCATAGAATCTGTACCAAGTATCCAATAAATCCTTCCAACTTCCGTCTAACAGTGAACTTCTGTGGTCCTGTAATTTCACATGTACAGAAAGACTGAAATGTAACTTTGTGTCCTGATGTATATTTTCTTGTCATTCACTTTGTTATATGTGATCACTGGTGCAAAAGACAGCATTGGGGCCCTCATCAATACAAACAAATAAATGGAAGATTGGTTTTCCCCAAGGGACAATAGCAGATAGATCTCTTTTGTCACTGAGAGTCACCTTTTTTATCACCCTCCTGCAGTAATACTCTCAAATAAGATTGAGGAGGGAAAAACACTTGATAATAAAATTTAATTTAGAAACCTTACATTAACATCTTTATTTGATATATTTGGAAAACTTGGCAATATCACAGTAGAATTATTTGTGGCTGGAGTGTTACTTCTGTCAGTTTCTGTATCTTGCATAATGAGATCATTTATAATTTAAAACTTAAAATAAAACTTGAAATAGATTCCACATGTCGATATACTCTTTAGGAAGTTGTTCAGCTTTTTACTCAGCCTTATCCATTTTGACAAAAAGATGTTGCTACCACAGGAATCTTTGCTATAAACAGCTGCAATGGAATGATTTTATGATAATGTATATAATTTATTTCTATGAGAATATCAGGTGCTTTTTTTCTATTTTCTTTCTTATAAAAGTAATATGTGTTAAAACACTGCTCTAAAGAAATCCATGCAAGTACTTGGAGTACCTAGCTTGGATTTTACAAATGTATTTGCTAGAATGATTTGCCTGACCACTGTGTTACCTGATTCCAGATGGCATGAAATTATACCTTCTATTTTGGATATCTCAAAAACACATTTATGTTTCAATAAGAAGTAAAGAGTATGATCAAAATGTACAAAATAACTTCAGCATTCTTAAGTGTAGTGAATTGTGCGCTAGTTTTGACCTTTTTAGAGTCAGTGGGAGATGCCCTGTCTCTGTCCTTTTGTCCCCAGAGGAGGTGCCATTCTGCTTTACATGTAACAGAATCCAACAAATCCTATAATGGTGGCCAGAACAGAGTCAGGAGATCTGTTTTAACTGGCTTTTTTATTTGTATCAGTCTATCGAGTGCTATAATTGTGCCTGACTGGCAAAGATATGATGTTATTGTTAGTAGAGTAGAACCCTCCGAGGTGTGAAATACAACACCATGGTGCAGCCTGTTCTGTTCTGTCCACCTTCAACAATTGTCAACAATTGATTTGAAGCCCGGAATCTTGTTGACAGATGAATGAAGCAAACTTTAGCCAAGTTAAGCTTACAATGCTATTTCTGTCAATGTGGTAGATGAATTAGGAAAAGAAATCTCTGTAGAACTTTTAGATGAGAAACTCTGATATCTTTACTTCACATTGGAAAGAAACCAATGTGACTTTTAGGTCAACAGTAAATTTTTCCCAGATACATCCATAACTACAATTTATAATAACTGCCTAATATGTGTCACTTTACATACTAATTCCCATACCAGCCCGGTAAACTAGAGATATATTATACCCACCCATTTTACGGAGGAGGAAACAGAGGGTAAAGCATGTCAAGTATATCTAGTCCAAGGACAGACATCTAGTAAGAAGCAGAAGCAGAATTTGAACCCAGGTTTATTTCTCTTCAAAGCCCACATCCCCTCACCCGCATATTTCTACAGGTTGTTTTTAGCAAGTAAACTTTAAGTGTTACTACCTTCTTTGCAAGTATCTTCTTTGTTTTATCTTATCCTACCTTCTATTATCTAAGTTTCATTTTAAGCTTTTCTTAGCTACCTGTAGATCTTACATCTTGTTATGTGATCTTTCATACTGCTCTTGACTCAAAACACACTTATAAATCATCTAATTCTCATCTAACAGAAGTAAATTGGTGAAGACATGAACTTTGGCTCTTGAGTTGAGAAAACTTAATATAAAATTGTAATGGAGTTTTTCAGCAAATGTTCCTTTAATTGATTTTGCTATGTTCTTGATTAACTATCAAAGTATTTTTATTTCTATTTGGGCTCAAATAGTGTGCTTTTGACTGTGTGGTTGCTATTCTGTAATAATAAGATGCCACTATTGTTGGAGGGAAGCAAAGCACTTATTTTGTAGGAACAATAGCCCTACAAAATACCAGGATGTCTTGGTAAATTCAGA